ATAATGCCAGACTGCTATTGCTTTTGCTTTTGCTGCTGCTGCTGAATAGCCCAAGAGGAGAAAATTCACCGGCGGAACGGCGTCTTTCTTATACATGGCAATAAGGCACCATGCCAGTGTCGCCCACTGTGAGTTGGTGCCCTGCCTCCTCACAACTTGGTTCAACGCAAAGCGACTTTGCAGTTGGCCCCCTCCATCTGTCAAGGCCTAGATTCCGATCCGATCCGACGCGGATGCCTGCATTGCGCCGAGAGGCCCCGAGGGCATCGGAATCCGGCATCGAGATGCAAAGGAGTCAAGGACCATGACACACCACCACTCTGGAAGAATTAATCACAACTGCGAGCCCTCCCGAGTTCGATGTTGTCTCGGCAAGTTCCATGGCGCAGACAACCGCGCTGTAGCAAGGCGAGGCTGCAGGGTATTGAGGTGGCATTCGACAACCCAAAAAATCTTCGCGGATCAGGAGGTTGGTTGCCTGGGACGTTATGACATGTAGGAGGTTGCTCAGCTCCTGCTTCGTTGCGTTGTAATGCTCGGCTACAACCCACCGTTCGGGCACCGCGGCTAGCTCAACCGAGAGCCAACGCCGAGCTGACTCCGAATCAGACGGACCTGCGGGATTGGGATTGATTGGGCGCTGACTCACGGCAGCGAGACAACGCCGACGTGCCCGGGTCATGCAAATCCCACCGCCTGAGTGCACGCGGCTTAGTGAGCGCCTCCATGCCATACGATGCCGGGTTGGGTGTATCTTGGTCAGTGGCTTGTTGCAACATCTCAGTCGGAACTGCAGCAGGCCATGTTCATGTAATCGGTCCAGTCTCTACCATCTCAGTGCCTCGTTTTGCTCTCTCTGTATAAGTCATGTATCTAGCACGTTTCTTGTTCTCTTTGCTGATTTGCTTATTCACAATCAAGCCTGCAATATTATTTTGACATTGTAGTTACTACATGTTATTGCCCTGAATACCTACTTCGCAGCTTCTCGATAATTAGTCACTTGGCATACGACCAAGTCTTTGTCAACACCGGCACCGACAAACATGGGGTCTGTCGACACAGAAACTCCGCTCTACACGCTTGCTGAAGGTGGCGCCAGAAAAAGAAACCCCTGATTCACGAAGTAAACACTGACATGGCCAGGCTGCCCCTATGCCGACCCTGCCACCGCACAGCAATTCAGCGACGGGTCGCCCATCAAGGGATTGATGCTGCTCCAAGACACACAGCTTATCGAGACGCTCGCCCACTTCAGCCGCGAGCGCATTCCCGAGCGCGTTGTCCACGCCCGCGCCGTGGGCGCCTGGGGCGAGTTCGAGGTCACGCACGACATCTCGCACCTCACCTCAGCCAAGTTCCTCAGCGGCATCGGCACCAAGAGCAAGACGCTGTCGCGCATCTCGACCGTCGGGCCGGAGCGCGGCAGCGCCGACACAATCCGGGACGTGCGGGGCTGGGCGCTCAAGATCTTCACCGAGCAGGGCAACCAGGACTTTGTCTTCAACGACATCCCCGTCTTCTTCGTGCGGGACCCCATCAAGTTCCCATCCCTGAACCGCTCGCACAAGCGGCACCCGGCCACCAACGTGACCGACGCCACCATCTTCTGGGACTTCCACAGCCAGAATCAGGAAGGCATCCACGCGCTCATGTTCCTCTTCAGCGACCGCGGCACGCCCCGCTCGGTGCGCCATGTCAACGGCTACAGCGGCCACGCGTACAAGCTGGTGGCGCCCGGCGGCACCGGTTTCCATTACGTCAAGTTCCACTTCATCTCGGACCAGGGCACCGACACCATGACGGCCGACGAGGCCACGCGGCTCGCTGGCGCCGACCCGGACTACCACACGGCCGACCTATACAACTCCATCGCCGCCGGCCGCTTCCCGTCGTGGACCCTCAAGGTGCAGGTCATGACGCCGCAGCAGGCCGAGGCGTACCGCTGGAACGTCTTTGACATGACAAAGGTCTGGCCGCACGCCGACTTTCCGCTGCAGCCCGTCGGCAAGCTCACACTGAACAAGAATGTATGCGCCGACAATATCCCAGTTGTCATTTGTTTTGATTTCTCATTTCACTAAGGGGGGGGGGGGGGGGTAGCTGGCTAACAATTCACAACACAGCCCGACAACTACTTCGCCGACATTGAGCAGGCCGCCTTTTCGCCATCGACAATGGTGCCGGGCATTGCGCCGTCCGCAGACCCCAGTACGTGCCATGCTCCCCCATGCCATACCTCCAACTCTCCCAACACAGAGAAGTGAAATAAATAATACAAAAAAGAACTAACCGCCGCACCCCCAACAACAGTGCTCCAAGCGCGCATGTTTGCGTATCCCGACGCGGCGCGGTACCGGCTCGGCGCCAACTACCAGCAACTGCCCAACAACCGGCCCGCGGCGCCCGTGTACAGCCCGTACGAGCGCGACGGGCGGGCCAGCATCAACGGCAACTACGGCGGCGACGCCAGCTACGTGCGCGCGACGGCGACGCGGGCCGTGGCGTTTGCCTCCTCGGGCTCTAAGACTGCTTCTGCCTTCACGCCTGGCATCACGGCCCACGACGTCTGGGCGCTGGGTTCTGTCGCCGAGTACACTAGTGATGTTGTGGAGGATGACTTTGTGCAGGCCCGCGCCTTCTGGCGTGATGTTCTGGGGTCCCAGCCCGGCCAACAGGAGCACTTTGTGTCGAATGTGGCGGGACACATTGGCTTGGCGAACCGCGGGGTCTGGGAGACGACGTTTGGTATGTGTCTCTCGTTCTCCCCCCCTTTTTTTATTTTACGTTCTCTCTCGGCGTGGTCTTTGTAAGTGGTTTTCGAAAAGGCTCCTGGCTAATGTCATTCCGTCTTGTCCAACAGACATGTTCGCGCGCGTCGCTCCCGAGCTGGGGAAAGCCATCCGCGACGCTGTGCTGGCGCGAGATGCGTGATTCCCAGCGTGAAAGTAATTATTTACCGATCTGAATAGCTTCATTGGCAATCAACATGAATACAATCCAATGCCTGAATATGTGTCAACGGGGGGCTTACCAAAATTTTCAAGATCTCATTTCCTTCCGGCTCGCCATACATGTTTTCCGCTGACGGGGGTACAAATTCGTTAGATACCTATTTGAGTACCGTAGAGGCCTGTCTCTTCATATCAAGGCATTTCCTGGCCGGTTTATTTGCTGGGATATTAAGCCAACAAACATTCAGGGATACTCGAGTGCAAGGAAGGCTGAGGCTGCGGGTTTGTTGGTCTCACGTACCGCATCCTCTCAGCTCGTAACCGACTAGAAGGGGTGCTCTACTTATTCGGTTCCTGGGGATCTCGGTAGTTGTAGCCTTCTCGAATTTCCATTGGCTGTGACCCCTACTGGCCGGTAGCGAGGTTTTTGAGTGATGGTGCCGAGAGATGACCGCCCCCCTTTTGTGTTTACCTGCTGCCGGTTTGGCCGGAACTACACCGGACAGACGGACGAGCAGGTTTCAATATTTGGTAGCACTGAGAGTGCGAGACGGCATGAATCTTGTAATGTATCTGGAGAATGTCAATGATTAATGCTGATAATGAATTGTGGTGAAGGATAATCACATAGATCTCAGATCGAACTTGCACTGCCAAGTGACTCAATGAACTACCGCTTATTTTCGTTCGTTTGGCCCTTGAGATAGCAGGCGATATCTCGTCGTTTATTTGCTCAGTACGAGATTCCCGCACTTTTCCGTCGTTTGCCCGGGTTCGCCGACGACTTCTGGCTCATCTGGGCGGCCAACTCCAACGCCATCCTGTCGACCGTGTGGGCCATGCTCTTCGTGCACCGGTCGCCGGGCCTGGCGCGGCGCGTGCGGGCAGAGACGGAGGCGTGCTTCGACGCGCGCACGGGGTCGTTTGACGTGGCGGCGCTGTGCAGCAAGCCGCTGCTCAGCTCGGTGCACATGGAGACGCTGCGCGTGACGGTGGGGGCGTCGACGGCGCGCAACGCCATCATCCTCACCATCAACTGGTTCAGCGCGCACGACGCCAACTTCTGGAACGCGGGCCGCGTGCTCACGTCGTCGGGTAAGCCCGAGCACCCCGTCGACGACTTCTGGGCCGAGCGCTTCCTCGAGTACCCGGGCGACGCGGCCAGTGGGCCGATCCGCAAGCCCGACGCGTCCACCTACTCGGCGGCGAGCGGCAAGCCGGACGGGACACGGCGCGAAAAGACGGCCGAGGACGACAAGACAGCCACACTCGTCACGGCGGGGCTCCAGGGCCACTACTACCCCGGGGCTTTGGAGGAGGGCAAAACATCTGCCCGGGCCGCTTCTTCGCTAAGCAGAGCGCGCTCGCCGCGCTCGCCATCACGATGCGCGAGTTCGACATTGAGTTTCCCGACGCCGACGCGGCGTGGAACGTGCAGCCCAACAAGGGGAACTTCCCCGTCGGCACGTGCCACCCGGACAGGAAGGTGCCGGTGAAGCTGCGGAGGAGACAGAACAAGAGCAACTAAGTGACTGGTGTGTTTATGAGTGGTGAGCAATGTTCGCGGCTTCGGGGTATTGAGGTGTCATAAAACACAGAAAGAAATAATTATATAGAAAGTTCAACAAATGCAGTTACCTCGTTGTCAAAAGACCTTATGCTACCACCGCAGAAAGAGTTTAGCGACTTTCAGCTGCTGCTATTCCGTAAATCCCTTCTGTTTTGCGAAACCGAAAAAAGGGGGACGACAAAATAAACATCGCAGGCCTTCTAGGTGAAAATCGAATAACTATTCCAAAATAGGTAAACAATCAAGGTGAGCGAGCCACATAGTAAGTAGCACGCCCAAATCTCATAAATCTCAAACACCTTAAAAATAAGTAACGTTACCCAGTCCAAAATAGATAAATAATCAAGACAAGCCACATACCGCGACTAAATCTCGCAAAACCCAGATGCCACAAAACAAGTTCCTAGGCTAAAAAACCTAAAAAAAGAAAATGGGTCGTAAACGACGCGCACAATAATAAAAAGGGCAAAAAAGAATGCGGTTTATGTGGATCGAACACATGACCTTCAGATACAATGATGAAGTGAACTTCAGTCTGACGCTCTCCCAACTGAGCTAAACCCGCATGCTAGCCGACTTGGTTGGTTGGTTGATTGGGGACCGGGCAGATTGGGTCTATGTTCGGTGCGGCACAGCACTCACCCCACAGAGTGGATAGCTCACACTGGAAACAGGGGTCGACTGACTCCACCCACCTGAGCACCCGCTAAACACCAGGACGCACGCATTTCGAGTCACGTTCAGTGCTAAGAGCAGTGGTTAACTAAAGGGTTGGACAGCAACGGACAATTTCGAAAAAGAGGACGGCTCAATGAGGCGGGTGTGTACTAGAGCAAATTATTGCATAGTTCCAACCGAACAATGACCACAAATCAACTCAGATAGGGCCAATGGATTAAGGGAAGTGTTTTGTGCACACGATGCGAATCACAGCAATCGCCTTATTGCCGCTGGTAGTTACAGTGACTTCAATTTCCTATTCTTTTGCTTCATTTTTACATCTACACCCGTGTCCTGTGATGCGTGACAACAAAGAGAACACACTCAAAACCACACCATCGTTCAACACAGGTCCTACTCGGCCTTCTTCTCGGCCCCCTTCTCGGCCCGCTCGCGCCTGCGCTTCCTCCAGGCCTTGATCTCGTTCAGCAGCCCCATGACGAGCGGGACGGCCACGGGCCCTAGCAGCGGCAGGTAGACGGCGATCTTGTGCTCGTCGGGGAAGTACAGCTGACCGACCATGCTCTTCTCGAAGAAGGCGCGCTCGGCCTCGGACTCGGCGATGCGCGCGTGCGCCAGCCCGTCGGCGCCGCCTAGCGTCTCGCAGGCCAGCCGCAAGTGCGCCATGGTCTTGGACACGCCGTCCGCCACGCTGCTGGGGATCGAGATGGACGGCAGCGCTAGCGAGAGCCGCGCGAGCGAGCCCAGCGTCGACGACGCCCGCAGCAGCAGGTCCGCCGAGCGGATGCGCGCCAGCGTCGACAGGCGCAGGGGGAGCGAGCCCGACTGCGGCGCCCCTGTCAGCGACAGCAGGTGCGACGTAAACGTCAAGAGAGGCTGCTTGAGCATCGCCGCCGACAAGTGCGGCGTGTTGTGCGGGAGCGGCAGCAGGTAGACGGTGCCCCACTGAGGAATCAGGAAGGACTGGAACGTTGGTAGCTCGCTGTCGGCACCCTCGGATATCGTCGGCGGAGCCATGATTGTTTGGTTGCCGACAAAAACCACAAAGTTCACAGTCGGCGCACCGCCTATGGACGGCGAGAGCGGCCATTCCGCGGCGTTGATGAAGGACGAGAGGTCCTCCTTGCTGAGAACTTGGTTCTGCACCCCGGGCGTCGCATACAGTTGCACCTGCGTGTCAATGGTAAAATTGTGAATAGGTGCTAGCACGTCAAGCACGGGCTTCATGTACTCGTCGATGGCGGCCTCAATGTCCCAGCTGCTCGGCAGCGGCCCGCTCGTGAAGAGGGAAAGGGTAAGGTGATAGGTCGGCGCGTATTTCAGCGACCTCGTGGTACGCTTGGAAAGCAGCTCGGCAGCCTCGGGCGTCAAGCCCTGGGCCCGATGCTCAGGCGGCGTGGAGCTGGAGGAAGAGAGCAGATACGAGATAATGGTCTGCTCCTCGGCAAACGTCGACCGCAGTTGGCTGGCGACATACGTGGCGAGTGACGACGAAGACGAAGTCGGGGAGGGAATTGTATTCGGCGGGTACGTGATGTCGAGGACGGGCGCGTATTGATCCAGCGTCGACGTCGTCGAGTCGCCCGGAACTAGGCGGATCGTCAGGGCGGCGCTGTGGTCGCTGGCCGGCTTCTTGTCGCCAGACGGCGGCGACAGCTGCAGGCGCAAGTGGTGCCCCGAGAAGTCGTTAAGATCGTCGAGGGCATGTTGGGTGAGACGGACGAGGTTCTGAGCCTCTTGCTCCTGGAGCGAGTTGGCCTGGATGGCGATGTGCAAGGGAAACACGGGGCGACAAGCCTGTAACACGCCGGTCAGAAATTGTCGGTGGAAGCCATTTGCCAGGCCACGCAGTCTTTACCTTGCCATCAGCCCAGTCTAGCATTTCCTGCAAGGGAAGGTTGGCTCGGTAGATGGTGGTCGTCTTCCACCATATTGGCAGGCCGAGACACAGCACGATCAGCCAGAAGGAGAGGATGACCAAGGAACGCCGGCGGATGTCGGACGGCTTCTCGGGCGGGGGCTGCTTCCGGCTCGACGTCGGGGTCGCGCTTGAAATGGAAGTTTGGAGACCATCTTTGGCTGTCACCGCCGTGCCATCTTGGACATCTTGTAACGGTTGCCGAGCAGACATCTCGATGCTGGCAGGCAATCCATTGACTTTCGCTGCCGCGCTGACACGCTTTCGCTTCGCTTGGTCAGGTTACTGTTAGAGAGGTGCCTGGCAGTTGGCCAGCATGCACGTTCCGATTCCTGACAGGGGAGGTACGTACCAAGACCCACATGGCTTGGCTAGCGCCAAGGGGGTTAGCGCGCTCCGTCTCTCATTTTGGCGAGCACGTGGAGATAACATTTCCATGTGATTGAGACAAGTACGCAGTAACACGCGTATTTCGACCTTACTCATCATCCGAATCAGGATTTCCCGATGTCCCCGTTTCGTTTCGCTTCATGGCGGAAAGGGGCGCAATCGGGTGCCACGAGTTAGTCCGTACTTTTGAGTCCGAGTCCGCTTCAAAAAGCGAGCCAAACACATTTTCCTGTCAAGTCACAAGTGTCGTGGCGTGTTTAGCAGCCCACCACCGGCGAGTCTGGGGTTGCTCTCGAAGAGTTCGAGATCCCGCCCGATGTCATCCAATACGCGATTCGGTCCCATCCTTGCTAGGTCTAGCTTGCAATACTTAACCATCGGCTTCCCCAACCCCGTGCGAAGCTCGAAATAGCAAGGCAAGCTGGATGGCGTTTGTCTCCATTTTCCCCTGAAATTTACATTACAGTTGCCCTGTCGCTGCTACACTGCAGTTCGTTCCCATTACCTTATTACCTGCTGTTGACTTTGCCCTTGCGCTTCACGCTTCACGCATCCACAGCTTGAGCTCTTGGCAGTGCCTGCGGAACCTAACATTTGTGCCAAGATGGCTGCCCGTGAGTTTACCACTCCCAAACGACGTGCTTTTCCCATGCGCAGCCCACTAACGCGAGTCTGCACCGAATAGTCTCTGCTGTGCCCCTGTCATTAGCCATCCCAGCCGTGGCTGCAGTTGCGGCATATATCAATGCCCGCTGCCTAGTGTCGTATGATCTCCGTCTGCTTGCGTCCCTCTTGCCAACGCTGGCCAATGTGGCCTGGTGGAAGTCTCGTGGACAGGTGAACCTATTTTACCGTCTGGAATCCTTGGCAACCTCGAAATCGTCCCAGGACCGCGATTTCCTTCGCTGGGAGAATAAGTCTTACACATATGCCCAGGCGTACGACATCGTACTGCGCTATGCCAACTGGCTGAGTGCGCAGCGAGGCGTTAAGAAGGGCGAACTCGTTGCCCTGGACTTCCAGAACACCGACACCTTTCTCTTCCTCGTCCTCGCCCTCTGGGCGATTGGTGCCCGCCCGGCCTTGATCAACTACAACCTGGGCGGCAAGCCGCTCGTGCACTGCATCAAGCAGGCAAAAAGCCGTCTCGTCTTGGTCGACCCCGTGGTTGCTGAGAATGTTGGTGAAGATGTTCGGTCAGATCTTCCCGATGTCGCCTTCGAGGTTGTGACCCCGGAGCTGGAGCTGCAGATACTGCAGACGGACCCTGTTCGGCTTCCAGATGAGGTTCGAGAAGACCCAAAGAGTACTCTTGACATGGCCATGTTAATCTTCACGAGCGGGACGACTGGTTTACCGAAAGGGGCCATTGTCTCCTGGGCCAAGATCCTAGTCATCAGCGGGTTCTCCGGCAGGTTGATTGGAACCAAATCAAGCGACGTTTTCTATTCGGTATGTAACGAGATGCCCAGGAGCTCGGGGTTCAACGTCACCCATCTTCCCTCCAGATGCTCTATTTTTCCAGCCTACCAACTGACACAACTCACAGGCAATGCCTCTGTATCACAGCACGGCAATGCTTCTTGGCTTCATCCACACGCTCTTGGCTGGTGCCACATATGCTATGAGCCGCAAATTCTCGACGAGCCACTTCTGGGAGGATATTCGAAAGCATGACGCCACCATCACTCAGTATGTTGGCGAGACGTGCCGGTATCTGCTGGCAGCGCCTGCCGCGATAGATCCAGCCACGGGCGAAAATCTTGACCGCAAGCATTCTCTGCGAATCGCCTTTGGCAACGGTCTGCGGCCTGACGTGTGGAATCGCTTCAAGGAGCGCTTCGGGATAGAGACCATCGTCGAGTTTTATGCTGCAACCGAGGGCAACTTCGCCACATGGAATATAAGCCGGAACGACTTCAGCACGGGCGCGGTGGGTCGCGGCGGGAGTTTGTATTCCTTCCTTATTGGCAAAACCTACGCCATTGTCGGGGTCGACCATGACACAGAACTGCCTTACCGAGACCCCAAAACCGGCTTTTGTTCCCGGACGCCTACCGGCGAGCCGGGCGAATTGCTGTTCAAGCTTCCAGCCAGCGATGTTGAGTCCAGGTTTCAGGGCTACTACGGCGACAAGGACGCGACTTCGAAGAAGGTCATGCGGTCAGTGTTCACAGAGGGGGATGCCTGGTTCAGGACCGGGGATGTGCTACGCTGTGACCAAGAAAACCGCCTGTGGTTTAGCGACCGGATCGGTGACACGTTTCGCTGGAAGAGTGAGAATGTTTCAACTGCCGAAGTCTCACAGTGTGTCGGACTGCACCCGGATGTCGTCGAGGCCAACGTGTACGGGGTTCAGGTCCCGAACCACGAGGGGCGTGCAGGATGTGCTGCCGTCATCTTCAGGGAGGGAGCCTTCCCGGTTGGTGACACATTAAAGACACTGGCCGAGCATGTTACAACGGGTCTGCCGAAGTATGCGCGGCCCCTTTTTCTCCGAGTTGTAAGTGGCGGGGCCTTGCAAAGTACGGGCACAAACAAACAACAAAAGCACCACTTACGCAACGAAGGCGTAG